TCTTTTTCTTCCACCACATGGTCATTCTAATAGATTACATCAATTGGGTTTGAGAAACCATTTCTCTCTGAAGAATTCTTTTAGACTCTAGTGATAAAGTAAAGCTGTACATGTCGTATTAAAGAAATGAAGCACAACTTTGGCCCCACAAAAGTGAAAACGAAAAGGACACTCCCGTGCGCCCAAAGTTTGCCGCCAGCCAAACACGAACCGGAAGCAAATGAAGCTGCATGGATGTGCAGCGGAGGACCCCAACTCAGTTTTTTTTTTTGTTTTTGGTCGGAGGACCCCACCTCAGTCACAACTAAATAATCCGACATCTTAACCATTAGCGGCAATTATTGGAAGCGAAACCCTAGTTTTCACAAGTAAAGGATCTCGAAGTCATTTTATAAGAAGCGTTAGAGGAGGAGGGAACAGAAGAGAAGCTGACAAACTCATCTTTTTGAGCAAGTTCTAGGGTTTACTTTTGCAAGACCATGCAACCAGAAAAGAGAAAGAAAGAAAGAAAGAAAAGAAGAGGTAGAGGAAAAGGCTTGAAGAGCCCTGTCGTGCAGGCGCGAGGGGCTACGCACTAATTTAGCTAACCCTAGCCATGAAAAAGCAAATACCGCTACATGCAAGGACATATTAAAGTATTCTAGCAAAAAAAAAGGACATATTAAAGTAAAGTAGATTAGGGGGGATCATCTCTGGCTTCTGTCATCACTGACAACTACGGATCTCTGCACATATGTTTGTTTGTGTATGTGTGGAGGGAGAGTTGAGTGGTCAAATCGATGAATGCAAACTGTGCGTGGCTTTGTAAGCCCGCTTGGCGTTTTATGGTCATTGTGGCGGTAATAATAGATGGCAAGATCCGCTTTCATTGAACATGAGGCAGAGTGCCACACATACTCTGCGAGGGATTTTCGCATACAAATGTTGTCTTATCACTAAAAGAGAGGGTTTTGTGTCCAATTGAGTACGGTCGCCTTCCCAAAAAGGCCCCTTTCCTGAGTGTGTGTGTTCTTTTCTGCATTATTTGCTACGACCTGTCGAAAGTTTGCTAGACAGTTTTCGAACTCATCCTATACGAGGTGATCAAGTCGAGTTTATCGGAGCTTTTGTTGTTGTAGTTGGTTGCTAAGTAAAAGTGCAGACAGTGCATGCATGATTGGCAACTATATATTCTGCAACTGAGCCAACAATTATTAGCTAAAGGATTATTTGCGAAAAAGTAAGTGTCGAAATGATCAATGTATTACTTTCTAACCCGGACTGAATGAGGAGTCGCTAATCGTCAAACCCGAAATGTGTTGCAAAAGATCCGACCAGTGAAGGACATTCCAAAGTATTTCTTTTCTGTTCTAGGTATAAGTAGATCATGGTCTGGGATTCAACGGCAACTATGAACGTTTTCAACCCTCTTCTAGACACTCGATCAGGACTCAACCAAATTTCTAGGACTGCTCGTGTTTTCAACTAGAATACGCCTAACTACAGGTTGTTTTCACATTATGCGAGCAGATCAAGTCAAGAACTGCTAATCCTAGTGGTGAAGGTATCTTACGAATGGAACAGAACCAGGGCGAGTAATGCGAATAACTCACCTACGAACCCGATGAGCTATTGAATTGTCTCATGGAATCAAATGTGACACTGATATTATATGTCAATGCGATCCATACTTATTAAGCTCTTAAGATGGGAATATTTTATATGTTTACGAAGCTTACTCGAACAATATAAAAGGTTACATAGTGAGAAATTAAATTTAAGTATATTTCTCGACATATTGTTACTTTCTAACACTCTCAAACGAGAACCTATAAAACAGCTTTGGCCTCTTGTTACTGAAAACGAAACCTGTTATGTTAATGACATTTTATTTACCAAAATCGATGGTATATCATTTGCTTGGTCCAGGGATTTGCTTAACCGTTAGATAAAAAATGCCTAGAGACAGTACACACATCTTTTTAGAAAAAGAAAAAAACAAAACCAAATCGAATACAAGAACGTAAAAAAAGAAGACCGAGAGGGCTAAAAGAGTAGGATGTCTCGCGGTTTTAGCAGCAATGGCTAAACGGCTATACGTGGTGATAGAATCGTCGTATATCAAGGAGGAAGAATGAATTTGTGAAAGGGCTATTGACTATGATTTTGGAATGAAGAGCTGGAAATGAAGGCGCAAGGCTAATTCCAAGTAGTGCAGATTTTAGGTGCCTATCATTTTGCTATGGTGATTTTCATGTGTGTCCTGCGCAGTAATTGATACTAAATCTCATTTGGGGTTGATGCTCATGCTATCTAGTGTAACAAAATGCAAATTCACAAGGGACGAATATTGAGGCTATATAAGTTTTGTCTGGCGCGAGTCCCTTGTTAGGATGAAGATCAATTGTCTCCTACTTTGATTCCATGACGAAACGCAGATATTACATTTTCTGCTCCTCCCGCACTTGAACAATACCCCATAATCTAACCTCTCTCTCTCTGTGACCCACTACTAGCTGGCCCCCCTACCCCCAGGCAATCCTGCTGCGCTGCCGCCGCCATCGTCAACCTCCGCCGCGACCGTACCGCTACTCTCTCTCTGTCGGGTGCTAGGATTTTGTTGAGATATACATTAGGTATAGTGACGACTTGAATAAACACGTGTTGCGATCCTACATTCAGACCCCTATGATCCAAGAGTTAAGATGCACCATGTGCATAATGTAATCTTGAGTGCGTGCATATATACTCGACCGACGCTATAATTAATCTGCAATTTTTGTACATTGTTGCTGTTGATTTAGCTGTACAATAGAAGCAGAGTTTTCGCATCCATATAACATTTTTCGGGTCGCGAAATAAACTAAGATTTGGAACATTGATGGTGGGAATTTGGACATTGAAACCCGAGAAGAAGCGAGGACGGTAATAAAGGAGAGAGTGTGGGGGCATCGCCCCCCCTCATAACTAATGAAAACAACGGGTGAATGAGAGCGAGTTAATCTCTCCCATGCACACGTCCCTTTCCCCTCTCTCTCTCTCTCTCTCTCTCTCTCTCTCTCTCTCTCTCGGGAATGCCGAACCCTACATTGATTTTTAAACTATTATTTTTTTTATCCTTACTTTCTTTCCATTCAAGCTTCAGCTGTTTGTTTGCAGCTGCGCCCCCTCCCTCTCTTCCCGCCGCGCGCCCACCCCGCGCCCCCCCACCCCCCACGCTGGTGTGGCCACCCTTCATGATTCTTCAATGATCAACAAGTGGTCCAGAAATGTATACCAGAGATCTGATACAGAAAAAGGAAAAGAACAAACTAACCAGGAAAGAAACGAATACCCGGGAGCTGCGAATTTTGGTTCAATTGAATGTACATATTCCGTTTGTTAACTGAAATTTTTTAGGTATGTAAATTTCTAGAAATTTTTTACCTAACATCTAATAATGTTTTCAGACGGAGAGGGGCGAGAACTAGCACTGACCCTCCTAGGTTAGCCATTATGAAGGACCACGTATGGTTGGATTTACCTTGTTAGGTTTGAGATCTATCTCAGATGGGAAAATGCAAACGCGAATGGCATTCGGGCCGTCACTCCGCATCATAGGTCTTGTAAGATATTAAACCCTTCTCGAATTTCCTCGTCATTCAATAGGATAGACGTTATTAGTTAGAGTTTGTGAAAATGAATTTAAGCCATCATATAAATAAAAGAAAAATACCTCCTAAATTTGTTCGTAACCATGGTCATAAAGTATCATTGGCGAAACACAAATTAACTTACTGATACAAATCAAGAAAAATCCATATGTAGTAAACTACTTCAGAAATTAATGTGTGGTAGCATGAGATTTGTAAGATGATCAAAGCCACGAAAATATTGATCCCATATTATTCGCAAGTTACCAGCTATTTGCAAGAGGGCAGAGAGTTGAGTTGGTCCTTGAACCATCTACTTTACATAAACCTTCCATCGAAAATATCACCGGCTATATTATAAGCACCTTACCACATCAAAAATACTTCAAACCCTAATTTACACTTCTCTCTGTGAGGGAGAGGGAGAGGGAGAGAGAGATCCGTCACTCGAACTTCATTCGTAGAGTTGAGGCGCTGTAGTGGTTTGGCTACAGCCTAGAGGCAGAGGTGCTTGATGTGGTGACTGGAGACATGGTGCCAGCATCGATCCTGGGGCTTCTGGTTTAGCGAAGACAGAAGATGAGAGAGAGAGAGAGAGAGAGAGAGAGAGAGAGAGAGAGAGAGAGAGAGAGAGAGAGAGAGAGTGAGGGTGTGTTCATATGTGGTCAAAATTTATCTCGCAGACAAAACTTTAGTTAAGAATGGATGGGCCAATATAAAATTTGGTGATTGCACAATCAAGTAACTTTTTCGCATGCAAGAGTAACCAATTCAGATCGTTGACAAATTTAGAAGACATTTTCTTGATTACAAACTCATAGTGAATGATACACCCATTTACATATAGAAGAATTATTTCAAGGGAAAAAACCAAAAGATTGCAAATGTTACATCAATAGCTTGGCTTTTCAAGTAGAGTAATGCAAGATTGGTTTAGAAAGGTCGTTTACAAAATAATTAATGTAGATCATATTCAAGCAGGGCATATTCAAGCATCCAACAAGAGCTTCTTATCATTTAATAAACTAAGTTTGCAAATTAATCTTAGTTTCTTTAGGGCATATACAAGCATCCAACAACACCTTCTTATCATTTAATAAACTAAGTTTGGAAATTATTTTTTTAGTTTCTTTAGCATCCAGAAACATGTTCTCCTAAGCTGTCACTTTTCCTTCTGCGCAAAAAAATTGATGAAAATGGACATAGAAGAAAGTAACTTTCCGAGTCTGCTACATCTACTAATATATTAGCGGCAAAATTCCCATCTATCCCCATCTTTATCTCTCACTCTCACTCTCTCTCTCTCTCTCTCTCTCTCCTCTTTTCTTCTTCCTCCTACAGAAACTGAACAATCAAAAGTGAGAAAGAGAGAGAGAGAGAGAGAGAGAGAGAGAGAGAGAGAGCGAGAGAGAGAGAGAGTGTTCAGATCCAAAGCAGTTAAGCTGCCTCTCATATATCAATCCCACCTCTCTATCACACTTCACACACTGATCGGTCAATCCTATCAACCATCAAATCAAGGAGAAACATGTCCTCTTCATCTGCCTTTTCACCGGACCCCCTCTCCCCCAACGAGCAGCTCTGTTATGTCCATTGCAACTTTTGCGACACCGTCCTTGCGGTATCGCATTCTCTCTCCCTCCCTGACTTTTTGTCCCCAATAATTATACAGTCGCATTATTCTGTCTCTCTTTCTCGCGCTCCAAATATATAAACTACTCATGTTTATGATTCTTCTTCGTCTTTTCTCGTTTTCTTTTCCTCCCTCTGATGGGTTCTTCTTCTTGTTTATCTCAATTATCAGTTTGTGGGCTTCTTGTGATATGTTTGGCTTGGGGTGTGACGTTTGTGTTGTAGGTGAGTGTTCCATGTAGCAGCTTGTTCAAGACGGTCACAGTCCGATGTGGTCACTGCACCAATCTCTTGTCGGTCAACATGCGAAGCCTCCTCCTTCCTCAGGCTGCAACAAATCAGCTTCACCTTGGCCATTCTTACTTCACCCCTCAAAACCTTCTGGTATATAACATTTTTGTTTCATGCTTGCTGATGCTATAAAGAAAACTAATCAACCTAGGGCTCTTTTCTTACCGTGAGCACAAACAAAAAACGAAAGAAAGATGAAGGCAGCTAGGGTTTCTCCAATAATGGTTGCATAATTGGCTGCTTTTCCCCTTTTCCTGTTCTTTTCTTTTTGGACAAATAATTTTGTGAAGCCCAATTGAGAACTTTTGGATAGCTTATAGGTTTGTCTTCCTTTTCCTTGTTTTTGTGTGTGTGTGTGTGTGTGTGTGTGTGTGTTTAGTTTCGAGGTTCTAATCTATGGGAATGTGTAGGAGGAAATCCGGAACACGCCGTCGAACATGCTGATGAATCCGACGATCCCGAACGAGCCGATGGTGCAGCTACGAGGAGGGATGGAAGAAATCCCAAAGCCCCCGCCGGTGGTGAACAGACGTGAGATTCGGCCTGCTCTAGCTTTAATCTCACATCTTTTTGGTCCCTTCTTTGCCTCACATGTTTTTTTACTTCTTTCTTGATTGTGCAAGCCGTCAAAGAAAGAATCCCTGCATTTTTTATATGGGCCTTTTCGGCAAGCAGTTCCCTCTTAACCAAATTAAGTGAGGGAAAGTTTCAAGAAAGTCGGATTCAATTGCTCTAACGCTTACCCTTGAACAGTACCGTAAAATTTTTCCTGCTTGCATCATGTGGTCAAGCTCTTCATCCAACTCAATCACCTGTTATATTCTTTAACTGGTTTTTCTTTTTTCATTTTTGTTTTTTCTCTCTTTTGGCTCTCTCAAGTTCCAGTTTTTATAGGGTAAACTGGGACGGGCACTTTAAGATCTGCCTCTCCACTTTCGTTACATTGCTCTTAGAGACAACAGTGTGCCCTCCTAAAATAGAGATGTCCTCGCTGTTTGCCCTAGTGGTCACCATTCTTGAACCACGAAAGCTAGAAAAGGTTTCGCAACCGTTCTTCATTTTCGTAACTAATTTGGTTTCCTTCCTCCGGAGAATACCCTAAAATTTTAAAAACCCTAAAATGCAGATGGCCCTGGATTTATTAGGTTCTTTAGTTGTGGTTGTAGCTGCATCTGCGCTCGCGCACCATATTGCTTAGAGCAAGATAGAATGTCTTCGTTCAATTTTGAGTTTTTTTTTGGGAGACAAGAAAATATGAATGACTGTCCAGAGATCATGATGAGGTGATGATGGGTTGGGAAGATACAGACACAGAGAGAGATAAGAAAGCTTGCACAAAGTTAGCGAAGTGATATTATGAGTAACGTGTGTTTTGTCTGTTATTTGTGTGTCTGTCTGTCCATTGTTTCAGCTCCCGAGAAGAGACAGAGAGTCCCATCTGCATACAACCGATTCATCAAGTAAGTCTTTTTAACCTTTGGGCCATTCTTTACTTTACTTACAACTTTTTTTGAAAAACAATAAAATTTCTGATGCTTTGAAACTTTAAAGATTTAAGTGAAAAAGGAACTAATCTTTTAGATTCGTTGTTTTACTAGTAAGTTTCTGCTTGAACACTTGTCATTTCATTGGGTTGAGAAAACTAATAATAAAATGGAATGAAGTGCAAATTTGTGAGCTTCTGAGGAATGTGAGACTATCAAGAAGACAGTCATGCGTACGCCTTGGTGACATTGACGTATCTATCAATTTCATAGGGACGAGATCCAACGCATCAAAGCTGGGAATCCTGATATCAGCCATAGAGAGGCCTTCAGCGCCGCTGCTAAAAACGTGAGACTCTCTCTCTCTCTCTCTCTCTCTCATCCCGAAGAAACTTCTAGGTAGCCTTATTTTATCCTTGATGTCTTTTCTGTATTCTGAATTTAAATCAATCTGCATAACATGACAAGAGTTGTGATTATCGGGTACAAACGTTTCGGTTTCTTTTCAGTGGGCCCATTTCCCACACATCCATTTCGGACTCTTGCCTGATCATCAGCCCGTGAAGAAAGCTAACTTGCGCCAACAGGTACGTTCCATCTTTCAACCTCTTTTTCAATAATTTACAAAACCCTAGTTCATCTTAACCCGAAACAAACATAAACAGTGAAGCCAGAGTGCCTATCTTTTTTACGCACTGCTAGCTTCTGCACGCTTGATCACATTAATAATATTTATTTTTATGACATTGATCACATTTCTTGAAGAGCTCAAAAATCATATTGTCCCTTTGTTTTTTCGAGAGTAAATTGATCTTGCACTCCGATTTTAATGACAATGATCTTTCATTTTGTGTAGGAAGGAGAGGACGTGCTCATGAAGGATGGGTTCTTCACGCCTGCAAATGTGGGTGTCTCCCCCTATTAATAATTGGCTGAGAACTTTTAAAAAAAAAGAGCGTTCTTGTGTCTCTCTCTTTCTAAGTTCATCAGTTCGGTTATCTTCTCCCCTTTACTTCCCTCTTATGAAAGTGTCACTACTAGTTAGTCTCTTTTGTTCTAAGCTTCGTTTCTAAGAGAGACTTCTCTTTGTTCTAACTTTATGGCTGTTGCTCAGCTTCTGTGCCCTTGTGGCGTGTTTGAAGCTTTTAGTTGGATTGATTAAGTCTAGAGAGAAAGAGAGAGAGCGAGGTCTTGAAGCTCGGACAACATCGAGCTTCTAGAAACCGAAACCTAGATGGGTCAAGGTTTGTTCATATTCCTCAATATGTATTGTGAACCTATCTTTAACCATGCCTCTCTCTCTCTCTCTCTCTCTCTCTCTCTCTCTCTCTCTCTCTCTCTCTCTCTCTCTCTCTGTGTGTGTTCTTCCAATGTTATCTTCCATATTGCTTTGTCGTGCATGCATTACGTCTTGTGCGAGCATGTCTTGGAAAAACTACTTTTCCATCTGAGGGAGCTGTCTTTCCCCGTTCCTTTTGGGTGAATATAATTGTAATGTAAAGGCTTGTACCTGCGCGCGTCAATAGAACACAAGTGGTACATCAGAAACTAAAGTTACTTTCTTCGAAGAGAACTAAGAGAATTGGCAGATATGGTTATCACGAGCAACAAACGCTCGGAGGATACTAAGAAGAAGATCTTTTTTAGCTACAAAGATCTCCTGAAAATGATGGTGTTCCTCACTCGTTTTCATCTAGTTCTTACCTTATTTTCCTACTAAATTGCTCCTTTAGAGGTCAAAAACCAAAAGCACATACAAGAGCAAGACTCTACAACTCTTCTTAAGGTTATGTTAGGTACAGTAAGCGCGATTAAGTAACCTCTTGTCAGTTATGATCTCAACTCCAGATTTTGCACAGAGTTCTATTTAGGGCCCGTTTGGTTCAGCTTTGGGAATGGGCTTTCAACCTCGAAAGCCCCTTCTCAAAATGCTGAACCGTTTGGTTCAGCATTCGGCTTGGCATTGGCCAAATGCTAGCATTTGGAATGCCGAAAGCCCAAAGTTGGTCCGAACCAGCTTTGGGCTATCAGTATTTGTGGAATGTTGAACCAAAACTTTTTGTCCCCAAACTACCCTCACTTATTTTGGCTTATTCCAATTTTGCCCCTCTTGGTACTGTTCATCTTCTTCGTGAGGTGGCCGGCGAGGGAGGCCGACACCGGATCGGACCGGCGAGAGGCCAGCGAGGTCGCACGACCCAGGCGTTGGCCGTCGGGTCGCGCGACCCTCGCCGAGGGTTGCCTGGTCTCGGGCGACGATCGCAGACGGTAGATCTAGCTCGCCGAGGGTTGCCCGACCTCGGGCGACGGCTGCCGGCGCTAGATCTAGCTCGCCGGCGGCCGTAGGCCTTCGCCGGCTTCGGCGAAGGGTAGGATAGGTTTTTTTTTTTAATAAAAAAGATAATTCCCAAAGCCCTTTGACAAAATTTTTTTTACCAAACACTACTTGAGCCAAAATAGCTTTACAAACGATTTTTTACCAAATGCCACTTGCATTTCCCCAAAGGACTTTAACCTAAAGGTATTTGCATTCCCCCAAGTAGCATTTTAAAAGTTGAACCAAACGGGCCCTTAGTTTAGTTTAGCATTAGGGTTTTCGACGTAGACTAAATCAAGTTACAATGACATAAGTTTCGGTTTAGGTTTATTTTACATGGCGTTTTACTATCAAAATTCTAAAATTATGTTCATGCTAGTTCATTTTATGTTTTCTCAAGTGAAGATCATCTCCTATTGTCTTTTGAGTTTTCTTATTTCATCATTTTCTGTCATAAATAATCAATTGAGAAATTTGATCCTTGACTCCCAAAGAACAGTGGAGTGCATTTCATCTTAAAAGCCTTCCCGAGTAGCAAAGCACAGTAAGAAAGAATGCATTTTTTTTCACCACGCAGCCTACTAACCGATGATGGGGTCAAAGTACCTAAATTTAACACCTGCAGATTATTTCTATTTGTTTATCTTATCATTAAAGTTACTATCAAGGGGAACATTAATGGAAGGGAGTGGTAGGGTTCGGAGGGAGTTGGGCTAAAGGGGCTTCATTGTTTAAGAAGTTCGACCTTGTCCATTTGATCTCGTCACTATTTACCGCACATTCGACGCCACTATCGTATTAGACTTGCTTTTAACAAACACATCAACCCATCTATAAGATCATCAGGACCCAGTGACAATACAAATTATTCATTAAGATTAGATTAATTATGTCTACCCCGACTGATAATTGTTTTATACGAGCATGGTCGATCTTGTGATAACTATAGAGAATCTATTGCGACAATTTGACGTACATTTAACATGTCATGAATAAGATCTTCCTTTCGACATAGTAGTTGAACTATTTAGGGTAAGTCGTCTGATGTCCACGGTGACATCGTGATCTCGGAGGCCGAACTTAGGAAAAGCAAAGAAGTGTTTGCATGCACTGGATTCAAGTTGTGTGTGGGGGCTCCTCAATTGAGTCGAATACATCGGTTTAGAGGAGGAGACTAACATCTGAAAATTATCAAAAGCTTAAACTGAATGTAAAGAGCTATCCAACATATACATTTTTTAAGCCAAGCACAAAAGTAACTTACCCAATCAGTCTTAACCAATTGTATATATATTAATTTGGTTATAAACTTTCCAACTTTGCCATTTTAGTCACAAACTTTTGCCCGAAATTCCAAAGTAGTCCTTCCGGCTCATTTTTGCCTGAAATCGTTGACGTGGCGGCGCACCACATAGGATGGCCGGCGATAACCAGACCACCACGTCTTTTTAGTGCTTAGATTGGTGCTCAATATGGTGCTCCATTTCCATGCTTTATAGTGCGACTTCTCTTCCTCGCTGCTTCCTCGCTGCTGAAATCAACAATGGCAGCGGGTTCGTCTTCCAATAGCGCCAAGTCAAGATCCACAACACCTAAGTGGAAATTGACTTGTTCCCGCCATCAAGAGGAGGTCAACCCCCATTGAACACAGCAACAACAGATGAAGCATGCGAATGAATTGAAACAGCTGCAATATAGTAACAATGCTAGGCATAAGATGGATTCAATCATAAAACAATTATTGTATATTAGCATATAGTAGTTTTCCTTTGGTAGATACTACAATATGCTATTCATAAGTAAATACCATCAATTAACTTTATTAGGTAATTAAATTTTTTTGTTACCAAATATATTAGACATCTTTGGATAAATATATATGAACTAGAGCCGGTTGTAACGTTGACGTTACTAGACAAGTCAGTCAGTGCCATAAATATACTTATGTACCTCAATTAGCCAATCATAGAATAATGATTTACCTTCAAGAGGATATATATATATATACTTTAGTTAATTTGGTACGTCTATCAAAATCATAATCTTAAGATCAAAGCTCGAGATTGTTTTTCTGATAAGTTTTCACAGGAATCGGTTATTTCCATTATAATCGGGCCACTTAATGATATGATCTTCTCAATTCATGATTTAGCCAATCTTTCGGAAGGTTTCCCAATATCGCAGGATTTTTTCCCAACATTCTCCCACTCAGCCCGATTTAAATTTAATGCACTAGTTATTATGTGCGCGATGATAATAAACAATCTCTAATGATGTCCATCATGATACCATAATATGATGAATTGTTTAGGTTTAGTCATGGCGGTTGTGTGCCATTTATGCAGAACACTTCCTTCCACGTAGTAAAACATTTATGGTTCACCATATAAGGTTCATAAAAGATATATAATCATAATTTCATTATAGTCCACAATAAAGACTATCCTTTTAAATTAAAATATATTGTGTGTACACAACCATAAGAAAACTGGAAATGCATAATGCATGTTAGAAACACACCATGGAGCTTAGAGCGTATTAATTGGGAGAATTACCAAAACAGTCATAAACATATTGTGATTGTGCCAATTCAATCATAAACTTTTTTTTTGTGCTAATTGAGTTATAAACATTCTGCATTTATGTCAATTCAGTCCATCCGACCAATTTTGATCGCCCGACACTGACATGGACATCGGTCATCCTACATGGCATGACCAATGCTGATGTGGACAATTTTTAATAATATTTATTTTTATTTTGGTTTTCCCTTTTTTTTTTCTTTTCTCTCTGTTTTTTTTTCTTCCCTTCATCTTCAACATCTACCTAGTCGTCGGAATCGAGGACCAAATAGAGTTGGGGGCCGACGAGGTTGGCCTCGCCGGCTGCTGGCGAGGCTTGACCTCTCCCAACCACTAGCAAGGCTGACCTCGCCAATGGCTAGTGAGTTCAAGCCTCGTCCAAGCATGGCTAGGCTTGTCCTCGCCAGTGCAACCAAGACTCATCCTGAGAACATGTTCTTTAAATAACCCTCCAAGAGTTTTTTTCTACAGGATTTTTTGTTCCTCTCCTTATAGTCACAGGTCAAACACTTGTTTGGAATACTCTAAAGCTATGTTTGTTTCCCAAAAAAATAATGATTTGAAAAAACTTTTTTCTAAAAATGATTTTTTGTATCTCTTGAAATAATTAACCAATAAAAAATATTTTTATTTTCGACAACAACTTATGTCTAAATATTTCGTGGTCGGTACAATATTTTTCGTTAATTTATTTTTGTAAACCATAAAAGCGATCATTTTATAAGAAAACGTTTTCTAAATCATTCAAACGGAGTCTATGAGTAAAATCTTGAATACACCATGCCAATGTGGAAGAGCGGGTCAATAAGATAATAAGAGAAGGTGGATTAATTGAGGTTTTGCGAAAGCCGGTTTAATCACCACGTGACCATTATACTAAAAATAAAATGAAATGACCTGCTAATCTAAAAGGCAAGGCATGCCTTTTCAATTCTTACCATTATGATGTATAGTAGAGAAGGAGGGAAGGACTTGAATGTATCGCTTTTGTAGTTTTCCTTGTTGTCCACGTTCTTGTATTTGCTTGTCGTAATTACCTTTTGTTAAAGTGTACTTGTATTTGTAAAGAAAAGATGTAAAGAATGAGTTCTTATGGTAAAATTTCATTATAAACAATTATAAGCCGAATTTGTATTTTCAATTCTTAATTCAATAGCCTGTGCAGCATATATTCAGGACCAAATTCAGATAGGACAATCTAGAGTTGAGGATACAATACCGAGAACATATCAACGCTATCTATAATTATTTCTCTAGCCCGTAAAGCAAACTCATCATGCCTTCAACCTCGAACTTTGACTGAAGAAATTTGCGTAACATTCACTATTGGTACTTGAGGAATAACAATTATATATGTCCAAAGGGTCCACATGACAAAAATTCCATCACGC